ACCACTTAGGTCATCAAGCTTCAAGACTATCTTTGTATTTTAACTAGGAAACAGTAGTTGGTGAGTGATGCATAAATCAGGGCAGTGTGCAGCATTATATGATATACCTGTTTTAGGTTGAGTAATGAATGGTGTTAGGGAAGGATTGGTGGCAATTACTTTATGTTAAAAAAAAATATATATAGTTAATAATAGTGAGAGTTGTGATAGTAGTAGTAATATCCTCACTGTGACTTTCAGCTCCATGACTTCACAAGTAACCCAAAAGACATAATCGCCGAGCTGGATGAGTTGGAAGAAGCCGTTACTTCCGGATCCCACTTTGACCTGAGCCATCTCTTTAGCCTCATTGCAAATCAGGTGTCGGTACCTCATTGCTCTAACCCAACTGTGGCTCCTCCACCCTATGTCATCAGAACAAGTAAGTGGGCAAATGGGTGTTAGATGTGCTTCGGTTACGACCATAGCTGAGAGGAATTTTGGGACCCGATGGTGATAAATCTGAGTAACCTTTTGTGAACGGAATTATGAATTTGAGTTCTGACTTTGTTTGCTTTTGAGATATTGTGATATTGCTCTATGGACTATATTCATACCATTAGCTTCAAGTAAACCCCATTACTTTTATTTCAGTTATGCTCTATGGAAGGTCACAGTGTTTACCGCAGTTCCTTTCGGGTAAAACAAGCTTCACCAACCTGAATCAGAGCCCACATTACTTCCTTGATATTTTGTATATGCATGAGACACCAAGTGATGACAATAAGTGTGAGGTCAGTTGAGCTAAAATATTTTAGAAGTTAAAGTTACAGGATTCTTACTTTAACCCATTGCCAATGGGCATGGCATACCACGTCCATTAGCGGGAAAAATGCATTTTTTACTAGTGCTATGAATGTTGATGGTGTTATTTTTATTATAAACATAATTACTATAATCTTATAAACATTAGTAACAGCAAAATAAGATAACGTAAAATATTTTTGTAAATCAAAGAAAAGGGGTAAACGGGTGAGACAGAAGAGAATATTTTTAGATAGCACTTTGATTGAGATTTGTAATTGTCTGATAAATGATAATGCTTTTGAAAGAATTTAACCAGATAGTCTTTCAAGTATAATGCAAGACTGATAGATGATTATATGCTAAAATGAATTAATTTCTGCTGGGATTTTCATGACCAAAACTTTCAGGGGATCTTCGACTTATTGTGCGGACTAGATGAGAGCGGCTGGAGCTACGTCTTGGAGGTATCTCGCAATGCCACCAAGCTGCACAATCACTGTGGCTCCCTCCTTGCTCACCCTCTGCAACGACCCACACAGAAGGATGTGCATTATACACTTGTGGCATCAGAGTAGTATGTTAGGGTTTTCTAGTCATTGGTCATTATTATTGTTATGATTTTTAATATTATTGTATTTTATATCATAATTATTAAGTTTGTGTTCATGCATTTATGGTATGATTATTTGTTTATATGTTTTTGGAATGTATTCATTGATTGATTGATCTTTAAAAAAGTGATTTACAGTATATACACTTTTTTGATTTTGTATGATAGAAACAGAGACAGGAAAGCAGAAAAAGATAGATGAAGATGGATTAGCATATATAGACAAGCAAAACAAAGGAATGATTGCAGACAAGCAGTCAGATAGAGATAGACAATGGTTGGACAGACAGACAGACAGAAGAAAACTTGTTTTACAAATAAGTGTCATATTTGGAAGCTACCTACTAGTAGTAAAAGTTGCCATGAAAATATACCAATGTGTATGAAATATGTATGAAATTTGCACTTTTTGATAAGTAAAGGACAAAATATCATTCTTGTTTACTCTTGATTCCTTCTGCACTCCACATCAGAGCAGATGAAAGCTAAAAAGAATTGGATCTACCAAGTGCATTATGAGAATTCCTGTATATACATACCACATTCATTCCAATAAAAAAGAGGTTGGAACATTGTCAGAAAGTACTTGTATTATTGGCTCAGTGAGGTGTTTGAGGAGGAGGGGGGTACATGTCATATACGAGAATATTGATTTTATCCTTATTACTTTCATCACTTGTCAAATGAGGCAGCATGAGGTGCTTGTATGATTGGTTCTGAATTGTTTTCTCACATTCCCAGGGAGAGAAGAGAAAAGAGAGAGAGAGAGAGAGAAAAGGCAGGAAAACTACTTGCCAGTTTTTAACCCCTTGGTGCCGGGTGACGCCGATCGGCGTGTAAACAAAGCGCTCGAAAGCTGGCGTGCAGCCGAACGAGCCGGCAGCGAGCCATTGATTCGGGCTGATGTCCCCTACTCACGCGCTCAAAGTCGGCGCGCCGCCTTTGTTTGTTTAAGCGTAGAGTTTTTTTTTTGTTTTGTACACCCGGCGCCATTGGGTTAATTCAGAATACGTCAGAAGTTCAAATACACTCAACTGAGCATCAATTGACTTTCGGAGTGAGCCCAAAGAGATTCTGATAATTTCAATATTTTCCTAGTACAGG